ATTTAAAGCCCTAGTAAAACCTTCTTTCTTAAGTGAATTACCTCGAGGGGTGGTTCGTTAAAAAGGGCGGAGTAACGAAGTAACAACTGTTCAACGTTCAAACCGGCAAAATCTCGAAGTAAATCTTATCTTGTACCACCTGCCGTCATCAATCAGTGCAACGCCTGAAGCAACAACTTAATACGTTGTAAACGTTCTTCACATTTTGCAGACGGTCATAAATTACACCGGGATTCCTTTATATGTCGTTTAAGGAGGAGGGATACGAGAAAAACACTGATCAAATCACGAATAAAAGCTTATCGGTTTACCTACCGCCTGCCATCATCAATCAGTAAAGTCATTAAAAAACATATTCATAATTTATTCATATTTTTAACATTATTTCATCACAAATTATTTACAATAAATTGACACAAAGAAAAAACTAAACTTTTAGCCGAATAAATGACAAATTCTAACTAAAAATAATTCATAATATGAAGAGAAATAGAAAGAGACGAGATAAATAGAGAATGATAAAGAGAAAAGGTAGATAGTAATGACAAAAGATGGGATTTGGAAATAAAAGACATTTGGGTGAATAGAAAAGATGAGTAATGAGAAATAAGAGAAAGAGAGAATAAGAAAAAAAGAAAAGAGATAGGTAGAAACAGTTAATTACATAATCCTTATAACACTTTAAAAGTTTAAAAAATACAGCAAATTTTTTATTGTAGAATGTAGAATAGAGAATGTAAAATTATGAAATTTAGAAAACACAAATTTTATTATGAAAAAGAAAGCAATTATTTCTTAGTTCAGGTAATTAAAAATTATTTAAACGTGAATCTTATAAAACCTAATTTATTTTTATTCAAAATTTTATATTAATTGCAAATGGTCGAATATAACTCGTCTAGAAGATAATTATGAAACGTTTTCACGGTTTGATATTAAGGCCAATCAACCAAGACTGTCAAGCATTCTGACACGGCCATTTTAACTTTTGTCGTCTAATTATCTTATAAATTTCAAAATTGGTTGTGTTAAAAAAATGAATACAGAGTCATTAAATAATAAAGCCTCATCGGCGTCAGGCGAATGGAGATTTTAGTTAATTACGAAAAAGTGAAGGCCAAAAATTTCATTCAACTTCCAAATCCATAACCCGAAAACGCAAAAAGAAAAATGTTCATAATGGAATGATTTTCGTTCCAATAAAATACAAAATATGAAACGTGAGGTTTAAATTTTCGTCGACACTAATCAAAACTAAAATTTTATAGACGCATATTACTTGTTTCATTTATATGTTGTATTTTATCAGCTAAGTAAGGCTCTTTAATCATTGAATGCAAGTTTGCGGATTTCCTCATACTTTTATAACTTTATAAAATCAAATTGCTCGGAAATAATACTAAACCCGATCAAAACAACTGGTTTAATAATAAATTATACATCAAAACCAAACATTGCATGCCGAAATGAAAAGTTAATGGTCGATGATGCATATTGATCAGTAGACATAAACAAATATAAGCAGAATTTATTGCAAAATTTACAGTACATTTCATTTACGCAATTCATGCATGGATTTGACGTGTTTGACAATTAATCCATGAAATCAGTGTCTCACTCAAATATATAACGACAAAAATTATATTGATACCATGTTGTATCATTTTTCTCCGGATTACGAAATAAAAGATAGGACTTTTTAAATAATTTCTTCATTTGGGTATTTATTTCGACAATTCTTATTAATTCAACTAACCTAAATGTGTAATACTAATTACAACCTCAAAACGTCTTTTATGTTTTGACTGTAATTAATCAAACTTGAAGTACATAAATATAATATTTTAATTAAAATAAAATCATACGATATCAATTTAATTTGTCAGCGATTTGATAATGACTGTCCGGTAATATCTAAGGATTGGATTTTATCTGCAGATTGCAGACACGTTGAGACCTTTCTTAAGACCTATTTTAATCGTACAATTTTAAATTCCTATTGAAGAATTGCTTTTGTTAAATATTATTCTGCTTAAACAGTTAAACTTAAAAAAGTCATTCAAGCTATTAATAATCGAAAGATTCCTGCTTTTCAGTTATAATTAACCGTTACGATCATAGTGAAAACAAATATGAGAAACGTATTATACATTTATTACTATTTACAAAACCCTAGGTTACTTTTTAGAACCGTAACAAAAACCGCAGGGATATCGATATGGATCAGCAGAATCCACTGACCCTGAAAATATATTCGAATTGACGTAGAATTGAACTCCTGTTTGGGTAATTGTTTTACTCTGGTATCATACGCAAACGTCAATAACAACAAAAAACATAGTAATAGGTAACTATGGGTTCAGTGATGGTTTATAAATCACGATTCAATGATCTTCACTGAAAGATCATGACATTAAGCTTTAAGAATAATAAGTCTATTTTGTTGTTTTCAGGGAGAAAACCATTTTTTAAATAAGTGTACTGTTTTTGTTAATAGACTGGAGGGGAGGGTAAAATTGAGATATAACCGTTACTACAAAACATGGTTTGTTGTAATTAAGCGTATGATGGTTAATTCGGAGATCGTGAGATGCGTTCTGGTGTGACGTAGGTTCTATAAAGACATTTTCTTTATCGTACCAACGTTTAGATCTTTATTGAGATCACCTTCAGGGCCTGGGATTTATAAACATTTTTTAAATTTTACAAATGCATGTAGGATGTAAAAAAATGAATTTGTACAATGCTATAAAATTTTAGATACAAAGAATAAATAAATAAATAAAATGATTTTATACAATGCTAGAATAATTTTTTAGATTAAAAAAAAAAATTTATACAATGCTAAAAAAATTTAGATTAAAAAATGAATTTATACAAGACTACGAAATTGTAGAATGAAAAAAAAGAAAAGATTTGATACAATGCTAGAAAATTTTCTGTTCAATCAAAATATTTGTACGCAGTCAAAGTGTTAGATTTCCGTGTAGATGTGTCATTCTTGTATGTCGTGTTGAGAGTGCCAGTGAGATATTGCTGTTTTGTGTATATATACGTTGGATTTCGAAGGGGTGGGGAAGGAAGTCGGGATAGAAAGACATTTTTTATATGAGGAATCGGCTTCTTTGAAGTGAAAGGAGCCGACAATGAGAAAAAACGTGGGTAATGGTTCGGCCTGATTATCTTTTCAGGATTGTATAGACGGGGATAATTAGAGAAGGAAAGCCAAATTGATTTGGTTGCCCTAAAATTTTCTAGCATTGTATAAATTCATTTTTTTTAATCTAAAATTTTCTAGCATTATATAAAGCAATTTCATTTATTTATTAAATCTAAAACTTTTTTGCATTGTACAAATTCACTTTATTTTATCTAAAATTTTCTACCATTGTATACATACATTTTTTTATTCTAAAATTTTAAGCATTGTACGAATTCATTTTATTTATTTTTTTTAAACAAAAAGTTTTTTGCATTGTATCAATTCATTTTTTTTATCTAACATTTTCTAGCATTGTATAAATTCATTTTTGTAATCTAAGAATTTTCTAGCATTGTATAAATTCAATTTATTTAGTTATTTTTTATCTAACATTTTTTAGCATTGTATAAATTCATTTTTCACATCCTACATGTATTTGTAAAATTTAAACAATGTTTGTAAATCCAAGGCCCTGAAGATGATCTCAATAAAGATCGAAACGTTCGAAAAGAAAATATTTTTCTAAAACCTACGTCACACCAGACCGCACCTCACGATCTCCAAATAATCATTGACTAACGGTCACTACACATATGATTGTTGTTAAAAATTTAAATAAGGAAAGTGTAATGACAGTACTGAACTTTTATTGTAACCATTCAATAACTCAAGTCTATAATAAGATTGAAACAAATTACACCAAAAATTTATTTAAATAACTAAGCGTAGTAATTCTATTTTCTGCAGAAGACTACTCCTAAATGAATTATATACAGTTTCTAAGGACAAATATTAAAACTTATATAATCTTATATATATATATTCTTATAATATATATTCTTATATATATTCTTTCTTTGTTTTTAAGTTTAAAAAGTATCTCCGTTGATACAACTAACGTGTTATAAAAGAGTTTTGACAGTTGGAGAAACCGTGACTGGGCGGGGTTAGCCGTCCCATTGAGACCGTTCATCAATGAAGCCATTTCTGAATATTCCATTATTGAATTCGTTTGAAACTAAAACTATCAGCATTTTTTCAACTATCAGAATTTTTCTATGTCGATTATTGGATGAATGCGATTATTTATCGAGATATAAAATGTAATTTAACAGTCAAATTTTCTGTATGTTATTTTACGGTCAAAACACTTTGCATCTTACGGCGCGATTTTATGTTAAAATAAATAATACACTTAAATGTTTGATCGTGTTTTCATAGTAAAATACGTTGTATTTAATAGTTTGAACGTAATTAACGGGATTTTTGTTTGGAAGTGTTATAAATATGAGTTTTGGTTTGGTAAACAGACTGAGGAATTTTTTGTATTATTTACCCACGTTCCACATTTGGTACTTTCTTCATTTGGATATTCCATTGTAGCATGTATGTTAAATGTTTATGTTTTATTTATTTTTGTTCTTTAAGATTGACATTTTTATTTTTTAGAAGTTTAAAAAGCACGATTGTACAAGAATTTTATATTGTTGGTAAAATCTTTACGTTTATTTAAAGAGAATTGGAATATTTTTAATTATCGTTAAGATATTTGATAAAAAGAAGAATCGTTTTTTCACATGTGTACGTCAGCTTATTTACACTAAATTTAGAAATATTTATGGTATATCTTTTAAATATTAATCTTGTAATGTTAGATGCCTATATGTCAACACTTGCTAGATTATATTGATAAAATAATTTTGTCGTCTTTTTTGTTTTTATTGAAAAGGTGTTCTCCGAAAATCTTGATTATATTTATTTCCAGAAATCCATCAGGAAATTAAAAATGTTTCCTTACCAAACTAGCTAAGCGTCATGGTGACGTCGTGATATGTTTTGAAGGGCGCACGGCACTGAACTGTTCCCAACGCTTTCTCAACCCTGAATGGGGGTGGTCGAGATCATGCGCTACCCCCCCGCCATCGGGACATCCCCTCTTTGCTGACACCCACGCCAAAATCGCCTAAATTTTATTTCTACCGTGTAGGCTCATGTCACTCGCCCGGGGCGTAAAATGCCCTTCGCCTATGGTGACCCTTTCGGCACTATCGCCCTTCGGAGCGGAAGTGATGATCGACGATGCTTCCTGGATAGCGGCCTTCACAACCCTTTTGAGATTACGTAGCGCAACTTCAATTCGCATCGGCTTTACCTTATAACATTCAACATTCACACTCATAACAAAAATCTCTATAAAATTACACATCATTGAATTTTTCACTAAAAAAAATTATATATACAACACACTAAAGAACATGTTACTCGTGTGTGTTGCATAATACTTTGAGGGATGCCAGAAGGTACATGTTGATTTTTCGACCCTTTTCGATAAAGGAAGGAGACGAGGAAGGTTCACCGAAATTAGTTTACTTTTTATCAACGAAAATGAAAATGAGTGTTTCATTTATCCATATTTCTATTTTATCACCTACTAAACAATATTGCTCCGGATATGCACTAATGATAAATATAATTGACGAAAGAAGGAGCTATGGAGAGTGCGAAAGGGGGGAGAAAGAAAGGTGAGCAGATAGAAAGATATGTTCTAAAGAAGGGCGAAAAAGAGAGAAAGGGAGAAAAGCGCAAAGGCAAGACAGTGTAAGAAAGCCTAAAGGAAAGAGAAAAAGAGAATGGGGAAGAGAAGGAGAGATATGTTATATAAGCATATACGTAATTTCTCTCTCTCTCTCTCTCTTTCTTACACACATTCGCTCTCATCCTCCTTCTCATTCTGTTTGATACCATGTGCAGGGATAAAATAGAGATAGATAGAGACGTTGGTGAAGTGTGTATATTTTTAAAAAGTAGCTTCGTCCCCGACGGTATGAGAAATGCCTACAGCTTTATTGCGAAAAAATACAATTGCAAAAATTTATTTTATTATACCCAATGCCCAATTGATCATGTATAAATAATGATCCTTACTCATCTCATTAAAGACGCGTCACAAGTGACTTTGTAGATCCCACCAAAAGACCATTAAGCAACGTAGCATTCTTGCGCAGTTTACAGGCAACTATGAGTTAACTAAACTCCGCAATATTCCGGAAAAGTGACAGATCGGTTTGCGTACCTCGGGCCCTGGAAACTTGTAAACACGTATTTCTCCGGGAAGATGTACTGAGAAGTCCTTTGGTTCCACTATACACCGACCCATACAAAGCATTGAGAATAAATGAAAAACACTCGAATTACGAATTTCCGAACGAAAAGTCACAGTCTTTACGGTAGAATTAAACCAGCACTTTTACTGCGAGAAGATCTACGACTGAACATCATTGTGGGGCGTAGTGTAGCAGTCGCTACATAAACCGAAATGATGTGGTTGACGAAATGAGTGGATTGGTAACACTGGTGCGGCATGCGGATACTGACCACGTGCTGTTATCAGGGATTAGTATTAAGAATCAGATGTGTTACGGTTTTCTGCTATTGTAACTTTAAGATCCATCAATAATTGTGTATATAACTTGCAATCTAAGGTTATATATAGCTTAAAGCATTTTTATTTGGTCTTCCTTGTTAAAATCACAAAAACTAACAACACTGTGATCACAATATTTTTTTGTCTTTTAGAAAGGAGTAATAGAGCATAAATAGTTAATGAATACGGAAAATTTCAAAAATTCAATTTACCCACATTGATTTTGTTTTGTTGATTAAGGTTCGCCTGCGGAGGCTCAATTTGAATCGCCGAGTGACATACTGTTGACATTTTGGTTCAAGAGATAACCCCGGCAGCCCAGTCTTGCATCGTGATTTAAACCTCAACAACTTATTGATATTAATATCGATTTTCTGTATCGACTTTCCACATCGATTTGACAACGCCGCCATCGAATGAGTCACATTACCGCCGTCAGCCTCAACCAGACACCTCGTTATGGCTATGGGACACCGTCTGTCGTCAACGTCGAACCAAGCTGCAAACTCCGTCTCAAATTTTGTTTTGGAAAACGCGTCATTTTTCCAATTCAACAAAACAGAACCCTTATATTTTATTTCATTGTAAACACTGGCCAGTTGGATAATTACTTATTTTGTAAATTTAATTGAGAAAATTTCTTTTAATTTTTTAAAAATAAATTGTAATTTTATACCATTTTGATTATTGAGTATTATCAATTTATATCTTTTCCCCAATACCAATTTAGGGAAAAAATATTTGTTTATCCCTAGAAACGGGTATGGAGGTTGGCTGGCAAATAAGAACCGCTCCTCTCACCAAAAAACCGAGAACAAACACAAATATATTTCTCTTTTAATATATTTTTACGAAATATCTGTTAATTTGATTATTGTGTTATACAGACCTATGGCACATATATATAAACCATTATATTTCGTGGTCCGATAATATACCAAATAACCCCTTTCAATTAATTAATCTTTATGTAAGTTATTGGTTGAGATAAAAAAATTAGTGTCACGACCGGGATTCGAACACACGACCTTCGGCTAAATAAGCCGCTGCTTTACCACTTGAGCTATCGTGACGTCGATCTACTCGGACACCAACCTCCCACCTCAACCCACCTTTCGAATTTTCCCTCCTTTTTGCCATTTTTCAAATTTCGTGTAATCTACTTAATTCTCGGCGACAAATGAAATGGCCACGGAGAACATTAGTGAATTTATACTTCATTTTGCTTATTAAATCCATTAGATTTTCCTGGTCCGATTGACTTTGGTCTCTCTCACCTCTTTCAATGAATTAATTTTTATGTAAGGTATATTTATAATCATGAGCAATTATCTGTATGGATCTGTACAACACAATAACCAAATCAACAGACATTTCATAAAGTTAAAGTTCAGTTAAAGAGTAATATATTAAAAGTATGTACAAATATATACAGGGTGAATTGCTACTCGTGCTACAAACTTCTCCAGTAGATTCTTCACCCTAAAATGAACAAAAAAGTTCATATTGTCCATGGTCCGATTCTCAACCATTTCAGNTGTGTGTAATAAAGATTATTATATAAAGCTCGGCAAAAACTTAAAAAACTGTCGTTCTGTTGTGACTGTTGTGATATATAAACTCCTCCTCAAAAGTATTGCAACACCCATAATTTTCGACTTGGTTTTGACCTTAATCCATACTTTGTTTATATTTACAGTAATATTATTTATTAAATGAGAGACATTAGGGATTAGACACATTGTTATTCACTGTTTACCAACAAACGATGGAATTTTTTTTATTCATTTCAAATTTCCTTTCAGTCCATGTTTATCTTTCGTTTGCCTCAAATCTTTTCTCTTTAGTCTAGTGACAACAATTAATTTTATTCACAATGAATCGTTTAAGCCACAATGATTCGGTCAGAATCATAGCTCTCTCTGAAGAAGGCAAATCTTGGGATGGACGTACCGAGTTAGTGCCAATCCATGGAGGGGCCTTGAATGGTTCAAGGTATGTAGAAATGATTCTTCAAGATCACGTAGTGCCTTTTGTGCCGTTCATAGGCTCTGAATCGTTGCTCATGCATGATAATGCCCGTCCTCACAAGGCAAGATGTGTTTCTGAGTACCTGACCACCACAGATATCCACACCATTGATTGGCCAGCAAGAAGTCCTTAACACAACCGAGTTTGGGATTATCTCAAATCTCTCGGTCACGAGATCCACCTCCTACTACCGTTGAAATGCTAAAGGCAGCTGTATTGGAGGAGTGGGACAATATACCCCAAGATTTTCTTCAGAACCTTTTTACAAGTATGCCAAGACAAGCGGAAGCAATAATTAAAACCAGAGGAGGCAATACGTCTTATTATTATTATTATTATTATTATTAATTTTTAAGGGCGTTTTAACGGCTAAGGTCATTTCACGCCCTAACATCCAAACCTTCTATCTTAGGTTANGTTATATATATATATAAATCCAATTAAAGTATGTTATTTTCACAAGGCTTACGAATTTGTTGGGTAGACAATTTTTCTATTCGGGATGTTATTAATAATATTTAACCGTATTCTGTATCATTAGAATGTTAAACAATTTCCTAAAAGAAATCATTCGATGGAGTTAACGTCGTAAACCGCTTAAAGTTTGGCACACGGCCGGTGGTGAACTGGAAAGGCGTACGCCATTAACTAACTCTTTATGAATCTGCCAGAACCAGATAACCGACGCTTCACTGTACCAATTTACTAGTTAAACGTGTAATGAACATCTGCATAATTTTTTTTATATTATTTTTGAATTTGTTAATTTCAATATTTTAATTGGAAAAAATGAATTTTTCGGGTTTAATGTAAAGTGTTTAATGTAAAGTGTTTAATGTGATATCGTAGATTTTTGATAATTCTAATTTGTAAAAATAGTACAGAAAGTATACTTTATTTACTAAATATGGGTACAATGAAAAAAGGTATTCAGTTTGGAATAGCCTATTCCAACAACTGGTCTTTTAATTTGTATTTCACATGTTATAATGTTTAGTATTTGCTCAAGTGGGATAGATGATGCTTGACTTGAAATCCTAATCCTGCAAAACTAAAATAATTCTAAAATTCCTCTGAAAATCGTAAAAATAGTGTTTCACAATGATAACACCAATGGGTCTAAGAAGAATTTCAAGAAAAGTATCCCGATGCGCCTTTGTATCTATTGTATAATTATAATTTCCTATATAATAAATAACAACCCTATTACATTTCGTGGTCCGATTGACCAAATAACTTCTTTCAATTAGTTAATCTTTATGCAAGGTATTGGTCGAAATGAAAAAGGTCTGTGTCACGAGCGGGATTCGAGCCGAAGGTCGTGGGTTCGTATCCCGCTCGTCACACTGATTTTTTCATTTCGACCATTTATGTTTTAGTGGTCAATTCACCAAGTTACTTCTTTCAATTCGTTATTCTTTATGTAAG